TATATATATATATATATATATATATATTAAAATACAATCACGTTATACCCTAGTTGAAATTAACAACAAAGCAAACAAAGCAAATGTACATAAAGTAAACCAAAAGTTAAACAAATCAACCACAAGAGTCGACAATCAAAAGAGTCCGGGCCATACCAAATCCTAGGCTGGGATTTGCCCAAGGTCACAGAGCTGCCCACTTTCTCTTCAAAAAGAGGCTTTCCTCAACAAGGAATGACGTCGTTCCGCAACCTCTACCACTAAACAAAGCCCACAACACCATGAAGATCCTTGACAGTTGATTTGGATCTCTTCTCCATTATATTTCAGCTAGAAACCGAAAGATGAACCCCTAGCACGACCCTAAACCACCTAAACTTGCGAAACCATCCAAAATCCGAAGGCTTCTCCCTAAAAATCCCAAGAACCAAACAATTTATCGTCTTTTTCAACCTCCCATCTTCTTTTTATTTTTTGATATTTTTTGCTATACTTCTTTTTTGTGTGGCTAAGGCCTGTCTAGGATTTTTTTCTTTTTCTCTCTACCCGGAATTTGGTAAAGGGGTTGTTATAAAGCTGCCTTCAGATGCTGAGGATGCAGCCACCTGGGCATCCCAGCATCGTCAGATGCGAAAATTTTGTCTTTTTCCGTTTCTTTCTCAATTTTTCATTATTTTTCTCACTTTCCAGAACGCTTTTAAGTTTAGTTAGTTTTGATCTTAGTTTGTTAGTTTTAATCTCATTTTCTCCGTTTGATCTGTTTTCACGAATTTAATTTCTTTGGGCCTGTTCGTATTAGTAAGCCCAGACATTAGATCCAGATAAAGCTTGGGTCTCTTACAGTCCATTGGGCATCTTAATTGAATTTTAACCTAAAATAAAATAAGATAAGGTAAAAGGAAATTAAAAATAAAAACAGGTGTCTACGATAATAATAAAATAAACTTTTAAAGTGGAATATAAAAATAAAAATAAAACAAAGGCCTCTACATCACTAAAAATAAATAAATGACTAGTGTCTACAATACTATTAATATGACTAACAATTGCAACGCCAAAGCAGTCTTGGACTAGTATAGATTTGAATTCTATAATTTTATGCAATTTATGGTTTTGTTCGTAATGCCAGTTTCTATGTAATATAGCTGGTCATCTTTGATGGGTCAGACTGTGTCGAGTTTATCGAGTTATTTTTTTTTTAAATCAAGTATGTCATGTCTATTTAGTTATCATTTGATTAATTATAAAAATTTGTTTAATTTAAAATAAAAATATAATATTTAAATTAGAAATTATACTAAAAGTGGTATTGTGTGGAATATGTTTTCTACTGGAATGCAATCTAAGTTT